CCAAAAGCAACTTGGTGGTTGACTTGAACTTTTATATTCTGTGTAATCTACTCTTCAAAAGATGGTACAGGGTGAAGGACAAACTGTGAGAGCTTTAGATGCTCTGATTCTTTGGCATGGTGTTCCAGGGTACGGAGTTGGGGTCAAACCACCAGATGTAAGGGTGTAAAAAGTAGGAGGAGTCACTTCTTTCCAAAGGTCTCTAAGCAAGGACTTGCTTCTTTTAAGCAACAGAAATAAAGAATAACTTTATTGTGCTGGGTCTTATCTTTCTGCTCTTCATCAAGGAGCCACAGAAGCAGAGCCAGACCCCAAACAGACGCGATATTTAAAATAGATAAAAAAGCCAATCTTACGAACACGTACATGTTGCTGCTGATGATGTTTCATGGCGGTTATGAAAATGTGAAAAACACTGAGTCTCTTAAGATTAGACTACGTTTGGGAATACTGTTTTATAAGCTGCGGAACACAAAGCCCATTTAATTTTATGGTTAGGTTGAAAAATTTGTAATCTTTGTTTTACTTGTTCTATACTTACTAATGAAATCTATCCAGCAAATAAGTCTGAGTGACTTGATTGCTTAATATTTTGCTATATTTGGATAACATTGTAATATTTCTAGCCTACCAATATTTTCCACAATATTTTGCTGATTTTGTTACTTCCTTAATAGAAAATCAATGCAGTAAGTTCTCAAGAGTTATGATTATTTTCTTCCTTAGGGAAGCATAGAAAGAATAAAATTACTGTTTGAGACAAGACTGAAGCTAGCAAAATTTTTTTGGTTAATTTTTTTAATAGCAAAGAAAGAAAGAAGTTTGATCTAGAGGCCAGAATAATTTTCATATATGTGGTACAGTATCTATTTAGTACCATAATAGTGGTAGATGATGTTAGATAATAAAAATTCCCATGCATTTTTAAATAGCCAAAAGGAAAAAAAAACAGAAAACCATTTAAATACAGTCTGTTTCTCTAAAATACTGAAGATTTTTAGAAAACTTTGAGGTTTCTTAATTAATTTAAATATGAGTGCTCAAAAAATGAAAGATATAATTAGATAAAAGTCATTTGAGGTATTATTAATCTCTTTTGTTTAGGCAAGAGTTTGAAATAGTGTTATTAAACCAAAATTATCATAATTTTTGTACAGTTTTGGGCTCTCAGTCCCGAAGCTTCAGTTTGAGACAATGAGGTGCACGTAAGTTTTCTTAAAATGCCATTTGACTAGGATTTTTTGTGATGCTTTTCAGGGATTATTATCTTTAGGGAAAATCTGTATTTGATTTCCAGGAGAGTTATAATTCTTTTTAAACATAGCTCTGAAAAATATTAAAATATCTTCTTGTTTTTGCAATGAAAAATTATTTCAAGAAAATTAAGTGGAAGAAATTGTTTGAATATTTAAACAAATGCATGGGATCCATAGTGTAAGTGTTCATAAGCATGCAATGATTAAATCTATACATGGGTGAAGTTATTGAGGAAATGTGAAGTTTTTGTCATAAAAATGTAAATGCAAAGACACATTTCTGATCATAAAGAGATATCAGTTTTTTAGTGGTAAATGTTAAGAGATGACATAGGGTAATTGTCTATTTCTTTTCCAATAAAGATGACCAGATGAATTTTGGACTTTAATAAAAGATAAATTAGTACAAGAAAAAATTATATTATTTTAAGAATTTATACCTTTACAATTTGACAATTTCAATGTTTGAGAATTTCAGAAGAGAAACCGATATGATCAAAATGTGTCTATATAGATTTGACATCACATGCAATCTTAAAAGTTATCCACAGTCATAAATGTTCCCTTCATCTTTTTTGACCAAAACTTTCTAATTCATATTTTCCTCTTGGAGATAGGACTGAAATTCTCTGTCACTCAATAACCACATGATCATTAATAAAGTTAACTGCATCTGAAATAAACAGAATAATGCATTTATGTGTATTTCTGTTTATTTACATGTCCATATATTTTTCAGTGTGCACTACTTGAATGAACTCTCATTCTTCAACCCTTTTCTTCTCAAATGGGAGTGACTATACTCTACTGCCTCTAACTTTTAGCAACTTTCAAATTTAGCACTTCTGCTATAGTTAAATTATTTTCATATCACATGTTTTTAATTCCAAATTCATTTTAACACATTTCTGGAAACAAATATGCAACACATTCTTCAGCTTGAACACTTTTATTTTGACAGATTCAATGTCAGTGAGCTGTTTTAAAGATGCTTACTATTGTTAATGCTGCAGGGAACAAAATCTCAAAAACAAAAAAAAAAAGTAAAGCACATCTTTATGTGACTAAAAAGTAATTTTTTGTTTTTGTTCAAACATATTATTTATAACTGTGCTCAGGGGTTTTTTAAAGATTCTATGCTGGTTACTCAAGGACAAGTTATACATCTTAAAATTGGCAGATAAATAGGTATGCCCCTGAGTATTCCTTCTAAAATTAATTAGAAAATTAGAATGCAATTTAAGCTGAGAAAAACATCATAAATTAGATATTAAATAACTTCTTAGACACATTTGCATTTCTTCTTAAGTAACAGTGCTTTTGAGAGATGTAATTCTTTAATTCATCATTACAAAGCACTTAATGGTGTTTCTTGGCCACCCTTAAATTTCTTGTATCTTTTGCCTACTGAATTCAATTAAGCTGCTACTCAATACCAAGAAAAATAACAGAACATGGGATTTAATATTTACATGCTGCAAATCAAGATAAATAATTCATCATATGTATTTTATACATGATGACGTTTTGCTCTATCTGTGTATATCCAAAGCAATTCAAATAGGGCAGAGGTTATTAAGTTTCACAAGTGTATCTGATTTAAATTGAAGGACCATGGCTCACTGAATATCTTATTTTATATGATACCATAATCCAATGAGTGACCTCCAGCACCGCTGATTTTTATAGACCTCGGACATGTTCAGCATTTCCTGGGTTTCCCAACTCTTTGCAAGATGGAGCCAGGAGTAAAAGCTCATAAAAGAGAAGTAAGCAATTATTATCTGTTCACAGACCCAGTTTCTGAAAACAATTCAAGGAGGTGACCATGCCTCTAGGGTGCTGAAAATCCCTTTGCATACCATGACAGCAAAGAATTTGATTACAAATCCAATAGCAGACCAACACATGACCCAACTCCATCCTACAGCAAGCTGAAGATACACTTGATAACATTTTCTTCAGCTTTTGCCAAAATGACAGGAAATTTAGTAAAGCATTTAACTCCTCAAATTAAGACAATCAAAGGCTGAAATTGCAAGGAAGCTCCTACAGGCAGTGATTTCAGTGGAGCAGTGTCAAAAGCTACAATTTTTAATACAGAAAACTTGGCAGTATCTATGCTGATCAAGACACAGGGTAAAGGACCAGATTGCTTTCATCCATATCCTATCACTGCTTGGCTTGGTTTTTGATGTTGATACCTTCTGTAAAAACACATTTCATTTATACTGAGATATTAATAATTTTGCCTTTCCTTAACAAGCCATGTAATTAACCTATTAGTCCTGTAAAATGACCAATAAAGCAAGCACAGGAGGAAATGTGCTTGTTTCTAAAATTAGTTGGTATATGTTATGTTATATTACATTTCTAAAAATGCAGAATTCTTCTTCTGCAAAATTGGCAGTTGTCATTAATTTACAGTTAGTTGGTTGGTTACACTTACAGTGAAGCCTGAAATAATGATTGCTTTCATAAACTCTAAACTCATATGCTTACACATGTTTTAGTAGCATTTAACACTGCTAAATGTTGGCACTATGCTTCAAAAAATACAAAAGTAAGCTTCAGCTCTTACTGTCTTTTAATGTTTAGGGATTAGCAAATTTACTCATCAAAATGAAGGGGTTTTTTAGAAAATAAGGATAAATTGCCAAAATATAGCAAGCCTAGGATACATTATGAGAGGTAGGTTTGTTTATACAATGTCTGAGGCATTGACATATGATTTTAATGCATGGAGTAAGAAGTTAGCTTTAGAAATCTTCTCACTAGTTTCCCACATTCATGATGAAAATTCATCTCTCTAGTAATGTCCAAAAAGATAAGTGATATCATTATACTAAATGTCACATTCATTACATGCAGGAAGGAGGGTACTGAAAAAGGTCAATTCGTCTGCAGGGTTCCACTTTTACTGTATATACCCAATTGTCATAATGTACAATGACTGCATTTTTTACAAATTGTCAAACAACTTTTGCTCCCATCACACACTAAACATGAACTATGTTCAGGATAGGCTGCACACAAAACACTGTTTTCACTGTTAAGATGTGATTAAGAAGGTACAAAACCTCTCAGCCTTATCAAAACAGTCAAACTTGTGTGCATATTGCTTTTCCAATACTTGTACAATAATGACTGCATGCAATCATATGAAAGAGTGGGGTGTACCTTTTTAGTTGTATTAGCACCAATTATATTTACCAAAATATTTTCTCCTGAGTTAAATTTCTGTTAGCCCAGCAATAGAATAATTGTTTCTGAAGTTCTTTCACTCTGAAAAAATTACTTTCAGAATTCAGTCAACTAAGTGAGTTTCTTTCATGAAGATTGTTTAAAATATGCTACTAACTAGTTGATACTTATGGTACATGCATATTCAGCAGTGCTATACAATTCTATTTTGGCTCACTGATTGGATGACTAGAATTTTTATAAATAAAGGATGGGGAAATCAGAGAGTTCTGAAGATAGCACATAGAATGGCATTTGTGAAATCACAAATATAGACATCAGCAGTACAGATATTTTCATGTTAGCTAGTTGTCAAGACTTTTTCACAGTGAGTGGAGTAAAATTGGCACTTTGAAAGCATGAGTCATCTCATCCTAAAATAGATGATTAAAATAGGTCAGATGAATCACTATGTATTGCTCTCTATTGACCTTGAAGAGAGCATTGGGTTACTAGCTAGTGTGTACACATACAAACTGCAGAACACATGAAGCTGGGTGAGAGGGAAACAACCCAGAACATCTCTGGAAACAATATTTTCACTACCAGATTTACGAGCAGGTATGAGAATAGTAGACTAATATTTCCTAAGGGGAAAAAAAAAGAAAATATTGTTTTCATCTTTATGGCAAATAAGCTAAAAGAGAGTATATGTGATTTAAAAGGATACACTATATCTCTGTGCAAAGCATTTGGATATAAAAGTATTTTCCTGGCTCTAGAAGGTACATAAATTCTTTGAAATATTATCATAGTGTTTCAGTACATCATAACCATACATATTGAAATCAAATGTCTTTTGAGCCTTAACACCAAGATATAGTACAGTAAATGGTTCATTTGAGAAAACACAACTACAAGATTTGAAATACACTTAAATTAATTTTGAAAATTCTGAAATTCTGATTAGGTGATAAAGAGCTTTGCAGTAATCTGCAAATTCTTCCAATGGAATTAAAATGTAAGCATGCAATGCGGTACATGTAGTGAGGTTTTGACTGAGGGATGTCATAACTGACCCTTAAATTGTAACTACAAAATTCTTACATAGAATGCCTTAGCCTCTTCAAGCATCTCCTTCCATTAATTTACTGTTGTGCAGACTCCCACAAGGGCACTTTCTTGAAATCAAAATCCAAAAATCATTCATCCTGACATATCTGCACGGCTTTATCCCCAGACTATCAGAATAGAAACAGAAAGAGTAAAGGCAGCATTATATGTCTGTGCTGTGCCTTTTTTCATCTTCTCTCTGTATGACCTTCAGGTAGACTTGAAGCCTGCATTCAATATAGATTGAGCTTTTTCTTACTTTACTTCACCTTCAATTTACTTGTCATGATGTACTACATTGTTAACAGTATTTGCTGCTTTGCTACAAATGAAGACCAAACTATTTCAAATCTGCCTGACTATAATAGATCTCCTCCACTCAAATTTAAACAAAACTGTGCTAAATCTGATTTTCCTAAGACAAACAATCTGCTGTCAATTGTGTAAGTCAAAAGGTGTTAAATCTGCTCATTACCTTTGAAATATGCTCCTAAAGAGTCTAAAAGAGATTGAGGCAAGCAGTGTTATTAATTTTTCAGTGGCTCTTTATTTCCAGTAATTGTATAAATATGGCAAATTCTGCAAGTTTTCTGAGCTTGTGTATACATTAAAAAGATAAGTAGTGTAACTTTGTAACTACTCAGGAAAAACACATCAGAAAAATTGAATTTCTAGGTGTTCTGGTTTTGTCTGTGTTAAAGTAAATTTTCTTTCTAGTACCTGGTACGGGTCTGTGGATGTGGGATTTAGTACTAGAATAATGTTGACAACACCCTTATGCTTTAATTGTTGCTTAGTAGCGCTTAGTCTAAGTGAGGACTTTTCAGTTTCCCATGCTCTGCCAGTGAGGAGAGCACAAGAAGCTGGGAGGGAGCACGGCCAGGCCGGCTGACCCGAGCTGGCCAGAGGGATATTCCGTAGCACAGAGCTCAGGGCATGAACTGGGGGGAGTTGGTCGGGAGGCACCGATCGCTGCTGGGGGACGGGCTGGGCATCAGTCAGTGGGTGGTGAGCAGCTGCACTGTGCATCTCTTGTCTCCCTTGAGTTTTATTCCTCCCTCTGTATTTTTGTTGTCTCTCTTTTCATCATCATCATCATAACCATATCATCATTATTATTGCATTTTATTTCATTTGCTAAACGGTTCTTATTTCAATCCATTAGATTCACCTTTTATTTTTTTTCCCAGATTCTTCTCGCCATCCTACTATGAAGAGGGGAGTGAGCAAGGAGCTACATGGTACTTAGCATCCAGCTAGGTTTAAGCCATGACACTAGGTTAAAAAAAAGTGTTTACAAATTGGAATAAAATTTTCCAAATACGTGTGAAGTTGAGAGAAAGTGAAAATATTTAATCTCCATATTTTCAACTATTTTCTGGCTGAAAATGAAAAAAAAAAAAGAATATGTAATCAGAAATGGTATTTCAGTTCTTAGAATGTCTGAAATCAGTTTTTTATAAAGAAGTTAAAATTTAAAAACTATTTAAAAACCCTCTTCTTACAGAAATTATTATCCTTGGTCCATGCTAGTTAGTTGTTTTGGTAATACGGGCTTAAAAAACCCAAGCATAAGAGATAGATATAGGAATCCAGACACATATTTCATCATAAGAACTTGAGTAAAAAAGCTTTACTACATGTCCAGCATATCATCTTTCCCATGGATAACTTAAGTGCAGTTTGAATATTATTGTTGGATGCTGAAAGTTTCTAGAGCATAGTGTATCAAATACTAATTGCTTATGTTAAGCCATGTTGTCTGCTGATAGTTTTGGAATCAATGGTTTGAAAGAAAATAAATGTGTCAAAACAAGGGAGTAATCTGTAAAAAGGAAAAATTAAGAATTTTAATGTAATGTGTTTTTGACAACCAAACTGAAAAAAATAATGTCTTCCTAGGGTCTGGATATCTTTATCATAGAAGTTCAAAGTCCACTAAAATCAAAGGCAGTTTTTCCACAACCTCACCAAGTTTTTCATTGAAATGTTGGTGCGCCATTCTATGGCATTTCAATAACACCAGGGATTTGAGCAATCTAGAAATGAAATGAAAGAAAGAATGAAAATAATGATTTATATAAGGAAACAGGCAAGATATCTTTGACAGAAAAAATCCTGAAATACCCTCAAAGATTTATATGTCAGTGGGAAAATGGGCAATTTGAAATTAAAGAGACAAATATAATCTTTTTCTCAAAAAACTACAAGAAGTACATGAGATACATAATCCTGCACACTATACCTGTCAATTAAAAATAGCAACATCATATACTATTGCAGAAGTATTTCATAGCAAAAGAAATTCAAACCTGAATAGTTTCATGCATTCTTCTTAACTAATTGCTATGTGAACAATAGCAATTAATTTCTTTTTCTTTTTATTTTTTTTGTTTTGTTTATTTTTTTTTTATTTTTTTATTTTTTTGTTTTGTAACAAAGGAGCTAGTGTTTTGAAAGGAAAGCAAAAAATTAGAACCAGCTCTGGAGGGTTCACATAATAATATTTACAAAACAGCTGCACTTTAGTATCCACCTGGACCAAGCAGCAGTCACTATAATTTAGGTTAAATGTCAATGAAAATTACAAGGTGGTATAAGCTTCATCACAGTTTCTCTGTTTAATATTTTAAACAGCAGCTCATTTGAACCTAAATAACAGTTTATCTATGCATGTTTCATTATATAAGGAATGTAAAACACAGACCTAAAAGCCTTAGTTTTGACCTTGTGCAAAATCGTTTCAGAGCTCTGTGGAAATGCTGGCATTGCGATGTGGACACCAAAAATGAGGTCAGTAAGGAGTCTCTAAACCCCCACAGGTTATATTGTCAGAGAAGAAAAAACTAAAAGAAAGCAAAGAAACACTAAAGAGAAGAAATAATTGCATACAGTTAGCACTTTCCAAAGCTTTCCTTTCCTAGAACTAACTTTGCATGATTTGACTCATCGTCACACATCTGCCGTTGAAGGAAATAATACCCACAGAACTACAGGAGGCATTTAGTGATTCAAAGGTAATAGTAATATCCATGTAAAATTTCCTGGTTTTAAAGCCATGCAATAGTGTTTTTCTGTGCAGGTGTTTTTTAGCTCCTTCCACCAAAGCAATCAAGTCTGACATCAAAGCAATTTTTTTCAGAAATACAGAGTATTAGCCAGAGGAGCAAGTAGATTCTGCCACAGCACTGTTCTGTCTGGATGAGTAGATGTTTTTCTCTATAACAACAAAGTCTATTCCAGAAAAATATATTCTCATGATGGAAATAAATTCTCCCTCTCTGCCCTCTTTTCACCTGCTCTCTCACTAAATCTCTCCTTCTCTCTGTAGCTCACCAGCTCCCTAATTTACCTCTCATTGTGCCATAGCTGATTGAGAAAAACACTTAAACTGATGCATTTCAACCGCAGTCCTGCTTCTACACCCGTCAGCAAGCTCAGTAAATCAGTCAGCCTGCCCTCGTCTTCTGGAACCACCTTAGTTCAGCTCCATACAAAATAGTTATCCCTCAGCTCCCACCACTTTCTCCTGCAATCTCTTCAGAGAACCTAAAGAATACTTTTTATGTAATAAATCCAGAGAATAAACAAACAAATCACTTCATGGCATCAAATAGGTAGTTTTTATCCTTTCTACCTAGGTAAGCAATTCATACCTCAGAAGATTTTCCCCCTCTATTTCTAGGATCTATTTCTACCTTTGGATCCACAAGGCTTGACAAGGACAGCAGACAGAGCTTTCCCAGCTGGAGTACAAAGTGATTTTATAGGCAATCGTAGTGAATTTTTACTCTTTGGAACACATAAATTTAAGATCTCTACTATCATCTGTTCTAAGATAGTAATATCCTGGTTTTGGATATTACTGTCAGGTATACACACTGGAGGGAGGGAATAATGAAGTTATCATTGTGCATTTCATGCTGTCTTAATATAAAAAACTTTGAAATTATTTGGCCTGAACAATTCCTGTTACTATGACTGTTTTAATCCCAACTCAATGAAAAATATTACTAAAAGAATTTCACTTTGCAGTTGTTTAATCATCCAAAACACAGCTTTTCCAAGGATCTTGATGCACTGTTGTGTAAATATACAGGAATATTGATCCTGCTCCAGGCAGGGAAACGCACAGTGGGAAAGGAAGGCTTAGAACCAGGTGTTGTGGATTCCCCTCACATCCTGTCTTCTCCCTCTCTATACAAATGCATTCATCTGTGAGAGAGGCAGCAAGCCTTTCCCAAAAAGGGATACATCAATTTTTTTTTTTAAATATGCCTGGCTGGCAAGTAGAGTGTGTAAATAAGGTTGTATGCAGCTTTAAATACAGCAAAAGATAGGAAGAAGCTGAGGTTAAGATCATTTTAGAGATTATAATAGCATGATAATCTTGATATTTATGGTACTACAAGGAAGTACTTTGGCTGGCTGGTGTGTAGTTCCACTGTGTAGCTTGTGTGACCAGACAAATTCTGGATCTTCAGAGCAATGGTCATTTACTTGGTTTATATAGCCCAAGATCTTACCATGGAGGCTTCCTCCCACTCACAATCAATGAAGCTCCTTTGCTGTTTTCCGTGCATTTCACATGTGAAGAAGGAAAATAAATAAAAAGATAAGAGGAATCATCAAGAGTAACTGTTTTGGAAACAGAGATAAATACAGCCTCTTAGAAGTGATGCAGGAGCAGGTGTCGATTGTTGCACATGCATTCAGCATCAAAAGTGGCTGCTGAAGACTTTATATAAAAGATTATTTTTAGGCCTGAGAACATTGGTTTCCATAAGCTGGTTCAAGACTGGTCTCTTGTTTGTTTCTTATAGAAGTTTCAACTCCTTTATTATATACAGAAAATTTAAAAAAATAATGCAATGTGTAAATGTTTACAAAATCTGGTCCTAAAAATATCTTTCCAGATCCTTTTTTATAAATACTCTACTGAAGAAGCAGATATACAATTTTATAAATAATAGAAATATTAGGTTTCAAACTTATACAATGTGATGTGTACATAGGTCTCGTAGAAATTGCAGAAAATTTTGTCATTAACTCCAGTTTCCAAACAACTGCATGCTGAAAATATCAAATATATGCCCTTAATAGAGCAGAGGAGAGTGAAGGAACACAAAAAAACCCTGAAATATATATTTTTAAAAATCAGTTGGCAAAGACGAGAGGACAAAATACCTGTCAAAACACATTGAAGAAGGAAAGGAGAATCCATTCACAACTTTATATCAAGGCACAGTTTTTTTTAGATCATGAATTCTAAATTCATAGAATTTCTTTGATTCTAATTCATCTTTTGACATGTGCTGATCTGGCAGTTATTTGATTTCAAAGACTGATAATGCTTTCTCTTCCTAGGAAAAGAATATTTTTTTCCTTATACCAGGAAAGCATATTCCTAACAAATTTTTTCCATGTTGACACCATTTTAAGTGGTTGCACCACAGGTGTCCTATATGATCCATCACTTACTCAGACCTTGCAAGAGTAATAATTTATTTTATACTCATCCAGAGACTTTTAATTATTTTGACTGTATAACATCATGTGTTTAAGACGTATAAAATGTAAATGTTGCAAAAAATGTCTGAAAGAAGAGATACCTTCAATGTCTGTATCCAAACTGTGTTATGCTAAGAAGGATTGCACATATTTTTAGGAATCAATTTTTTGCTAAAGCTGAGATTTTTATCATCTCTACTTTTTAAATACAAAATATTGCACTGATTTTTTTTTTCTTTTTTAATTTAATGAATTTAATTTGAAGGTCTAAGTGAAATTTAGGAGTTATAGATATTCTATTATTCCCTTTTAAAAAATGAAAAATTGCCACTGAAAAATGGCAAAGGTAATAATAAAAGAACGTTTGCACAGTGTGGTGTCAGATGTTAGCTTGTCCTGAATCAAACCATACCACATGAACCACCCCACTGGTTTTCTGTCATTATTTTGTACTGAAGTCACCTGTGATCCAAGAATCATTTCTAAAGAAGGGATGAGATTTCCTCTCCTATTTTTACATACCCACAAGTCAGATGTTGGAGTGAGTCACTCCAAGATGAATAAAGAAAATGGGGGAAAAGGTAAAATATATGCATATGCTAAGGAGAGGTTCATCTGACCTATTTTAGACCTCTAGATATTTCTCCTTTCAGGCTACTTGCTGGAAAGTGAGTAAGCAAACAGGAGAGGTGCAAAGAGTCTAGGAATTTAGGCACTTCAGCTAGGAATATAAAAATGTGACAGGGCTGCTGGTGGGACTCTGAGCCCCAAAGCTGGGGAAGTTTCAAATAATTCCAAATTTTGGGGAAGTCTCAAATAAGTGAAAAAGTAGGAAAAGTATATCTCTCAAATGAGTGGACGCCCCTGAAGACACGGGAAGGTCTGAGCTGAGCTGGTTGGTAAGCAGAGGTACCATGAGCTGTAGCACCTCTCTGTTCCCAACCTTATCCAAGGGCCTCTGGGGCAGAAATCCTCCTCACTCTGCGCTCCTTGCTGGTTTAAAACAGCAAATGTAGTCCATGACCAGTGTGAAAACAACTATGATAAATAACCCTAATTTTCATCTTCCTAGAGTTATTTTGGAATGTTTATACTTTTGGTTATAACTGAGGACTACATTAATACCATTATTGTTCCATAGATGTAGATATATACTGCATTGGATATCTCCCTCAGATGTAAGAAACTGGGAAGAGTGTTGAGGGTAAGACCCCATCACCAGAGTAAGATCTCATGTTATTTGCATGAGAGAAGGACATTTTAGGCTTAAATTTTTAAACATAACTATAAAATAAAAGCTGTGAACTCAGCATCTTTCATACTCTCTAAGTTTAAAATGACTTGACTTTCCAAAAATGGTATAAAGACACTTGCACAATTCAGAACAGTTCTAAGGGTGTGATCAGTTTGATGCGCTTCCTACAGCCTTGACCTTTGAAGTGGCTGGTTGCATACTTTGTAACATTTGTTAGTGTTGCACACTTTATGACATTGCAATTATATTTGCTAGGTCTTCATTAAACTTTTTTGTGAAAAAAAAAAAAACCACGGAAAGCAAAACTTCTAGTTTTTGATTTTTCAGAATCCTCCATCCAGAAAAGTAGACCATTATCAACTCTACTTTTTTCATTTTTAGAGAAAATTTTCTAAGCAAAAGAAAATATTTTGATTACCTTTTGTAAATTCTGTAAATTGCATACTTTGAAAATGCAATTCCACTATTTACTTTTTAGCACTACCTCATGGATGGCATGGAAACAGGAAAAGAACAGCATGTCAAGTTGCCTGTATCCAACACAGCTCTGAAACTCAAGCCAGCTATCATCTTCTTTCAGATGTAGAAACCTTCTTTTTAGTAGTAACTATTGAAATACCAGCTCTAACTGTTCTGTTACTCTTCTCAATAAGGTAAAATATCCACTCCATTCTCAAATTTACTTGCAAAAATAAATCATCTATTCTGGGAAAGCCTATCCATATAATTATGCATTTCTACACTGTCACAATATTGTGTATTGACCATGACTGTTCATTTAGCATATTTTTCATTCTCTGAATTGCTTTTTTGGCCATCTTACAGCTCTGTGAGAGTTTTTCTGAGTTGACACAGCACTCAAACTGGTAAATCTCAGTAATATTCTTCTGAGTAAATATGTCCATCAGATTAGACCCGGTCATTAACAGTCAGCAACTTTGGCAGCCTGCAAGCGAGTTTCATAGCAGTAATCACTGTTTCTAATTTGTGTTTGGTACAGTTTCCAGACTGTAAATTAACTTGTCAG